TGTGGGATATAGAGATGGACTATAGAATATAGTCTGTGACATATGGGACATGGAGATGGGATATAGTCTAACATATGGGATATAGTGATGTGATATATAACATAGTTTGTAATATATAGGGTATAGAGATGGGATATAGAATATACTCTGTAATGTATGGGATATAGAGATAGGATGTAGTCTGTAACATATGGGATATAGAGATACAGAACAGTGTAGATTCTGTAACATGGGATATAGAGATGTGATATAGAATACAGTCTGCAACATACAGCATATAGAGATATAACACAGAATATATTCTATAACATACAGGATATATAGATATAACATAGAATTTAGTCTATAACATATAGAATATATAGATATAACATAGAATATATTCTATACCATTGTAGATATCTAGATATAACATAGAATATATTCTAGAACATACAGCATGTAGAGATATAACACAGAATATATCCTATAACATATAGGATATGTAGAATATATTCTAGAACATATAGCATATATATTGGAGTATATTCTAAAACATATAGGATACATAGCTGTAACAGATATTCTAAACATATAGGATACATAGATGTAACACAGAATAAATTCTATAACATACAGGACATACAGATATAACACAGAGTATGTTCTGTAACATAGAATATAACATGGAATGTATTCTATAACATTCAGGATATATAGATATAACACAGAATATAGTCTCTAACATATAGAATCTATAGATTTAACACACAGTATATTCTATAGGAGAGCAGCTGCTGGTGTGTGAGCATAGCTCGGCTCCACCCTGGCGCTCCCCAAGGGGCTCTGCTGGCCCCAGATGAGCCAAAGCTGAGCAGAACCTCAGCATTTTCTGTCCCGTTTTTCCCTGGGAACACCGAGAGCCAGCTTGGGAATTTCATCTCCTTGAGCTGGACATGAGCCCGGGGTGCCCAGGTGGGCAAGGGGCCACTGGAGGCTGCTGGTCCCTGGGGTGGCAGCAGGGCCAGGGCAGTGCCCGTCCCCTGTGCTGGGGAACCTCCAGTGCTGGGACAGATCTGGAGAGCCCTGGAGGGGCTGGAGCGTGGCCAGGGAAGGAAACAGAGCTGGGAATGGGCTGGAGAATTGCTGAGGGAGCTGGGAAGGGGCTGGAGAATTGCTGAGGGAGCTGGGAAGGGGCTGGAGAATTGCTGAGGGAGCTGGGAAGGGGCTGGAGGCTGGAGCAAAGGAGGCTCAGGGGGAATTTCTGGCTCTGCACAAGTCCCTGGCAGGAGGGGACAGCCGGGGGGGATTTGGGATCTGCTGCCAGGGAACAGGGACAGGAGGAGAGGGAACGGCCTCAGGGCAGCTCAGGGTGAATATTTGGAATATTCCTACATGAAAAGGAATCTGGAATTGCTCAGGGAGGTTGGGAATGCCCATCCCTGGAGGGTTCCAAAGCCCCTGGATGTGGCACTTGGGGACAGGGGCAGCGCTGGCCCTGGCAGGGCTGGGGATGGTTGGGCTGGATGAGCTTTTCCAACCGTGATGATTTTGGGATTCTGTGATTTTCAGCAAAGGAGCTCCCCTGCTATGGCTCAGCAGAGTTACATTCATTCCATGGACAGAATGATGGGATCTTGGCAAGGAATTCCTGGCTGGGAGGGTGTGGAGGGGCTGGGCTGGAATTCCCAGATTTGCTGGGGCTGCCCCTGGATCCCTGGGAATGCCCAAGGCCAGGATGGACACTGGGATTGAATCTGGGACAGCAGGAGTGTCCCTGCCATGGATGGGATGGGATGGAATGGGATGGGATTTAAGGTCCAACCCATCCCATCCCATCCCATCCCATTCCATGATTCTCTCATTCAGCTGTGTCATTCCTGATGGATTTTTATCCCAGTCGAGTCTGTCCTTCCTTCTCCAGGAATCTCAGGCCACAAAGTCCTTTTTAATTCCCCACCTTTTTGACCTGTCAGTCATAACCAGAGATTGTTCCTTCTTAATTTCACAGAATCCCAGAGTTGTTCAGGTTGGAAAATCCCATGGAGCCCAACCATTCCCAGCCCTGCTCAGGCCTGGGTTGCTGCTCCACGTCCCCAAGTGCCACAAATCCCTCAGGAATGGGAACTCCCCTCCTGCCAGGGCTGGACAGGCACTTTTGGTGAAGGAATTTTCCCCTCATGTTTAGGGAAGAGATCCAGGAGCAATTCCTGGGAATTCCTGAGTTTGCAGCGTGGAGGATGGCTCCGGTCGCTGTCCCTTCCCTCGCCCTTCGCTGGCAGGGACAGGGATGGATCCAGAGCCAGCTCCATTCCCAGGATTCTTCTCCAGCTCCCTTTGTCCCTCTGGAATGATCCCAAGGACTGGCTGAGCCCCCTTTTCCGGGGCTGTGGATGAAGGAACAGCTTGGACATCCCACAAATCCCTGGAGTGCTCCTGGTGCCTCATCCCTCCCCTGCCTGTCCTGTCCCTCTCCGGGAAAAAGCCCAGCTCTGCAAAGCCCAGCTTAGCTACACGGGGTCTGTGTAAATAATCATCCCTGTTTCCATCCAGGCCTGGAGACTCCAGGAACAATCCCAAACACGACCCCCTGCCCCCCGAAAACCGGGAGCGTGCGGGGATCCGCTCCATCCTCACTTTTCCCTGGAGCTGGGATTGCTGTGTAATTTTAACAGCAAGCTCCTCCGGCCTCGGCGTTATTTTAGGAGCGGTTTTAAATTACCCGACACGGATTCCTTTTTCCTGGTGGGATTTTCGGGATCTGAGCAAATCAAATAATCTTTGGAAGAGATGCTGAGCTCCCGCTCGTAAAAGCTCCATACATCATGAAGGAAATGAGCAGGTTTTGGGGAGGGCAGGGAGCCAGGAGAGCCGGAGCTACTGCAGCAGGGGGAGAGATGGGATGCAGATGCTGGAGGGGAAATCCTGGATAACTCCTTTCTTCTATCCTGGGAAGCTGAAAAAGCACCGTGGCTGGGGTGGGAATTAAGCTGTGAGGTTGGATGGTTTCGCTGCTGGAAGCTGCAGCAGGGGGGACATCGGGGTTGCCCAGGATCTTTTCCAACAGGGAAAAAAATTGGATCCTGAATTAGTTTTATGTGGATGACTCCAAAGTTCCCCTTCTGTCTGACCTGGGGAGCTCAGAGAGGATGGAGATTGTGGCATCATGGAATTGTTAAGGTTGGAGAGGTTGTTTGGGATTTTTAATGCAGCCACCACCGTGTTCCTGCTAAACCACATTCCCAAGTGCCACATCCACGGGGTTTAGAGCCCTTCCAGGGATGGAGACTCCACTGCCTCTTTGGGCAGCTCCTTCCAATGCTGGCCGCCCTTTCCATGAAGGAATATTCCTGATTTCTATCCTGAGCCTCCCCTGAGGCCGTTCCCTCTCCTCCTGTCCCTGTTCCCTGGAGCAGATCCCAAATCCCCCCTGGCTGTCCCCTCCTGCCAGGGACTTGTGCAGAGCCAGAAATTCCCCCTGAGACTCCTTTGCTCCAGCCTGAGCCCCTTCCCAGCCACCTCAGGAATTCTCCAGCCCCCTCCCAGCTCCCTCAGGGATTCTCCAGCCCCTTCCCAGCTCCCTCAGGGATTCTCCAGCCCCATCCCAGCTCCCTCAGCAATTCTCCAGCCCCTTCCCAGCTCCCTCAGCAATTCTCCAGCCCCTTCCCAGCTCCCTCAGCAATTCTCCAGCCCTTTCCCAGCTCCCTCAGGAATTCTCCATGCTGTATTTCTGCTCCAGGATGGTTTCACCTTCCCAGTCCCCCTTGGAGCTCCTCCTGCTCCTCCATCCCCATCCTGCTGGAGGATGGCAGAGCCCCACGTGCCGTTCCTTCCCTGGGTGAAATCCATTAAAAATTCCTCCTTCCCGCCCATTATTCCAAAGGGAGCAAAGCTCGGGGGTGGATTTGTGAGATCTCCCGCTCCTGGGAGTCCTTTCAGGGCTCTGTCTCCCAGCTCGTGGTGTTTTCCAAGCTCTGGGAAAGATTCAGCTTCCAGAAGGAGCAGAGCTCTGGAAAACGAGCAGGGATTTGTTCCTGGAATGGGGCAGGAATGCAACCCCAGCCCCCACTGTGGGGAGAGGCTGGATCAGAGCAGAATCTCTCACAAGGACGAGCCTGGAAATGAACATTTCCAGCTTTGGGAGCTGCAGAAGGAGATTTTGGGGAAAAATGGGGATTTATGGCATGGAAACCTCGGAGTGATGTGAAATCTCAGCACCCAGTCCTGCTGGAATTCCCTTGGGAATTGGCTGTGTTGCTGGAGATCTGGAGCTGGGAATGTTGGCCTGGAAGTTTGGTTTGGTTTGGTTTTTCCAACTCTCCCAGGGTTTCCAATCTTTCCCTGCCTGAACTCAGGAGGATTCCCAAAATCCTCTTCCCACTCCTTGGCTGAACAATGGGAGAACTCCTGATTTTCCATCCTGAGGGGCCCCAAATTCCCTCTGTTCTCCCCTGGGTCCATCTGGCTCTGCCCACTCCAGGGAATCCTCAGCTTTGCCAAGTGGGAAATTTTCCATGGGCAGGATAATCCAGACAATCTTCATCCCAGGTATATAAAAATACCTTGCACTGGGCAGGAGCAGGGATCCATCCAGAGGGAGATGAAGATCCCAAAGGAAGTTTTCTAAGGATTTCTATAAATAGAAATAATTCTTTCTAGGAAAAAGTGGTAAAGGATCATTTCCTGCTGGGATATGAAGGAGTTAAAACCTAAATGGAATTTATTTGGTGATGGGGAAGGGAATTAATTCCTCCCCCACTCACTGGAGTTTTCCAAACTGGATCCATGAGAATTCCAGCATCTTGAGGCTTCCTGTTGCCTTTCCCTTTTCTCCAGTGGCAAAGAGGAAAATCCCTGGATTTGTTCCCCCGTGGCAGTGGCTGTTAAATCAGCCATAAACAGCTTTTCCATGGATTGGGAGCCGTGGGGAGGGATGGTGTTTATGGCCAGTTTGTTTTGGTGGGAAGAACATTGTCCTGATTTATGGGATGTGCTTTGTGCTTTTCCCAATATTCCCACAGAACCAAGTGACGGACACCAACCGGAAGCTGCAGAATGAAGGGAAAGAAGTAAGTGATGGATCCAGTCCTGGAATTACAGCCTGGATTGGGATGGGAGGGAGAATTCCCTGTCCAGCCTGGCCTTGTATCCTTGGTTTTCTTTTTTACACATCCCAGGATTTTCTCCTGGAGCCTCAGCGCTGAGAAATCCCTGTTAGGTTTGGGATGTGAGAATTCCCTCCTTGTATCCTTGGTTTTCCCTTTTCCACATCCCCAGGGTCTCTCTTGGAGTGTGGACACTGAATAATCCCTGTTAGCTTTGGGATGTGACAATTCCCTGTCCAGCCTGGCCTTGTATCCTTGGTTTTCCCCTGTCCCAATCCCAGGATTTTCTCCTGGAGCCTCAGCACTGAGAAATCCCTGTTAATTTTGGGATGTGAGAATTCCCTCCTTGTATCCTTGGTTTTCCCTTTTCCACATCCCCAGGTTTTCTCCTGGAATCTGAGCACTGAGAAATCCATTTTAGCTTGGAATGAGGAGAATTCCCTGTCCAGCCTGGTCTCGTATCCTTGGTTTTCCCCTGTCCTAATCCCAGGATTTTCTCCTGGAGCCTCAGCCCTGACAAATCCCTGTTAACTTTGGGATGAGGAGAATCCCCCAGGAGCAAGAGGCCACATCCTGCTTGTGAGAACCAGAAAACTTGGGAAGAGATGCCTAAAACGGGGAGATAACGATTTGGAACCCTTTGAGAACCAGAAAACTTGGGAAGAGATGCCTAAAACGGGGAGATAACGATTTGGAATCCACAGGATGTGCTTGCTTCGATGCCTTTGGCTTCGCTGCTCCCTCCATTGAAATCCAGGGAATTCGGGGCAGTTCCCCTTGGTGGGAGTTTGGGCTGGACATGGGGGCTGTTGGCTGATCCTGAGGGAGCTTTTCCCATTTTTCCAGCTGATCCTGGCCATGGAGGAGCTGAGGCAGTGCCGGCTGCAGCAGAGGAACATCTCGGCCACGGTGGATAAGCTCACGCTGTGTCTCCCCGGTGAGCGCCTCCCCTCGCTCCCCACGGCAGCTCCTGCCCGGAATTCCCGGGATTTCCCTTCCTTTTCGGAGCTGTTTGCATTCCCAGCTGCCTGCTCCTGTCTCAGAGCTGTGTTTTCCTTCTTTTCCCAGTGCTGGAGATGTACAGCAAGCTGCGGGAGCAGATGAAATCCAAGAGGTAAATTTGGATTTGCCGTTCAGGGGTTTTATGGGAAGAATCCAAGGAATTGTTTGGTGCTGGATAATTTAAGGAGAACCCCAGTGGTTCAAAGCCAGCCTTTCCAGGTGAAATTCCTGGCTTTTGGCTGCTTTTCCTGCCCAGCCTCCTGTGGTACAGCTGGGGATTGGGATGGCAGCAGGTTCCAGTTTTGGGAATTAAGGTTTTTTATGGAATTCCTTGGTTTTTTATGGAAGCTGAATTTGGTGCAACCAACGCATGTGACCCGACTGAATTTTATTCCATGAACACCACAAAGTGTCTGAGAAATTCCAGGGATTCCAGGGAATGTGGGGGGAACATTCCAGGTGGAAGTTGGGGAGAAAACTTCTTTTGCCATAGAAATAATTCCTGACCGCTTGGTGCCTTGGGAATTCCGGGCTGCAAATCCAGGGATTTCCTCGCCCTGCACCTGCTGGGATGCTGAGGGATGAAAATCCGGGATGTTGGCAGGAATCCTGGTTGGTGTGAGCAGCACAGAGCGATTTTGGAGCCCTGGGGGTGCCAAACCGGGCATGGAGCAGCTGCTGGAAGGGGCTGGAAAAGCAATCCCAGCCCTGCTCTGGGATTCCCAGGAGCTCCTGGCTCTTCCCAGGCCACTCCAGGGTAGGGATGGGCTCTCCAAATGTCCCGGGGCAGATGTGGGGTGGGAGCTGGAGCTGATCCCTGGGAATTCCTGTAGGGAATCCACAGCTGCTCCATTTCCAGGGATGCAGCTGGGAACTGCATCCCTTCTTTCCTTCCCCTTTTTGGATTGGTTCATTTAGGAACAAATCCATGCTGAAAGCTACATTTAAGGAATATTGGGAGCCTTGGCTGGATTTTTTCCCATTTTTTTTCAGTCTGGATTTGATGTCTGCAGACACAGCACAAGATATTCCATGTTTTTTGTCTGCTCCAGGTCTCACTTGGATCATTCCAGGATGGGCAGGGCTGGATCCTGACATCAGGGCTGGGTTTGGGATTGGTTTGGTTTGTTTGGGGAATAAACTCCCCAGGCAGGAGGAATCTGGGGATGTTTCCAAACCAGATCAGGCATTTCCCAAACGGAGAATCCATGGCCAGGAGCTGATCCCAGAGGAATGATCAGGGTGGACAGAGATGATTTCTCTGCCAGAATTTAAGGAAGGGGCAGGAAAGCTTTTCTGCCACGGCTGAGATGTGTGGAAAATGGTGGGAAACTCCAAGATTTCTGGTTCCAGGGATCCCTGCAGGGCTCTGGAGACCTTTTTGTTTTCCCCTGGCTCTGAGTGAGAAATGGAACCAGGAAATCCTGGAATGGTTTGGGCTGGAGGAGAGCCCAAAGGGCACCACCTGCACCCCTGCACATCCCAGGTGGATCCAACCTGGATTCCCAGGGATCCAGGGGCAGCCAGAGGAAATCTGGGAATTGCAGCCCAGGCAGGAATTCCTTGCCAAGATCCCAGCCCAATCTCCCCTTTCCCAGTGGAAGCCATTCCCTGGCCCCAATCCCTCTCCAGCTCTCCTGGATGCTCCATGAGAAATGAGTTCACTGGGAATGTTGATCCTGCTCGGGCTGAGGAATCCCCAGCAGGATCTGGAAAATCACCCAAAAAAGGTTTTGATCCAAATCCTGCTTTTCCCGGGGATGTGGAGCTGGGACAGAGCTGAGCTCCCCTCTGGGAATTCCCGGGAACACCGACCCCAGCGGGTGCTGCTCCCCCTGGATCCATCCCTGAGCATTCCCAGCTTCTCTCCAGAGGGTTGGATTTCGGCACAAATGGTTCCCATCGTTGTTGGGAAAGAATTCCCAGGAGTTGAGGCAGGAATTATTCCAAATGGGAATACAAATGTCAGCCTTTTCCAGTGGCCTTCGTTTGTTCCTTGTGGCCAAAGATTGTTTCTCCTCTGGAATTCCAGCTGGAAGTGCCCAGGATTTATCCATGGATGTGTCAGCTAAAATTCCCCGAAGTCCCCCTCAGAGTGACTGACATGAGATTTATTGATCATAAATCTGTTTATTTTATTATCAAATACATAATACATTAATACATTAATTGTAATAATTATTAGAATATAAAGACATAATTATTGTATTTTAAATACATAATAATGTATACTTATATACAAATATAAATATTTTATAAAATTATATAATTAATATAATTAATTAATTAATAAAATTTATACTATAATAATTAATTTTATATAATTTAATTATAATTTAATTTTATATTTATAAATTATATTTTTATTTATTATATATACTTTATATATAAATTATATATATTTGTATATAGATATATATTTCTAAAACTATATTAAGTTAATAAATAAATTAATAATATGTAATATATATAAAGTATAAAATATAATATATCATTATAATAATATATAAATCTACAATAGATATAATAATAGAAATAATAATACTACTAATAATACATAAATCTACAATAGGTAGAAATTACAGAAATATTAATAATAGAAGTATTAATATTAATAATATATAATAGAAATAATAAT